TTCTGTTTTATTCATTGCAATCGGTACCCGCCTCAGTGTTTACGCATGGGAATGTAAACTGTTTCATTTCGCTTCGCTCTTGACGATTTGTTTGATTGTGGAGCGCATCATATAACAAGTTTCACGGTGTGTTATTTATTTGCATCGGAGCCCTCTTCTCTCCCGTAAATTAAATTATTTACCAATTGTTAAAGGATTATTGGACATTGAAAACCATGGCTGAGGTGTCTATTGTGTTTTTTTTCCTGCATCTAGGCATCCCAGGCCGTTCATCCTCACCACCACTAGGTAAACACTGCAATCAGTACTTTCTCTCCTTGCTCTAATTCCTCCTCTTCTCTCTTTCTTCTCTTCCCTACTCACTACCCTCTCTTCTCTTCTCTGGAGGTTCAACCCGTGACTAATTTAATGTTAATCGTGTGTTGCATTGGTAGTGATTCAGAGAATAAAGGCTTTACATTTTCTTTCCACCTGTTCAATGTGCTACAATCCCCTCTTTTTAATTTTTCTCACTTTTGTTTTGTTTATTTGTTTGTTCTTTCCTACTCAGATACCCCAACTTCTTTGTCTTCATCTGGTCCAGGTTTGTATACTGTTGAAACTAAGCGAGCATTGTTTTAGCCTTCTTGTGTTATTCTTACCTTTTGCTTCATTTAGTTTTCCTCACATCTTTTTGTTGCTTTTGGTATTTTTTTCTCTTCTGAGGTGCGATTAAGTATCTTTTTTCAAGCAATATTTGACAGCTAAGTCCATCAGCGGCATTTGTGAATCATTACTTTTGTAACTTCTTCCTTCCATTTATGCTCGTATTTAATTGTGATATACAGTTTTTTTTATAATGTTAAAATTATATGTTTTATATCCCATGAAGGTGACATTTCAGCCTCTGAGGCTCCTAAACCCACACACTCTGCTCCCTCAGGTATGTACATGTATACTGTTGTTTGTTTTTTTCCAAGGAAAACAATATAAACAAGGCAAAATAACCAAATTTCACATAGATCAGAATGATGGACTTCATTTCTCTTTTCTGTTCCACCTCTTGCTTTTGTTGTTATTGTTCACCGTCCTATTGATTTTTCCAAATGATGAATGCGTTGCTCTTAACCCTTTGCAACGAGTTGTGAACTAAGCTTGGTTGTCAGAGTTTGATATATCTGATGTTTTATCTGAGCTATGCATAAGGGGAAGCTGCTTTAATGCAACAGATGTTTAAATTGAAAAAGGCTTTCCCAATTGAAGCTTGAAAGAGATAGTAGAACACGAGGCTTAAGCTTATGCATGGTGCTCCCCCAAGGAGCCCTGTTATCAGGTTGAATGAGTATAACAAACTGACAGAGAATGATGACCTACTTACTCATAGATACGAGCAGCAAAGATGTGGAGTTTTTGACAGCACTCAGGAATCCTTTTGTACTTGCTTTATTAATTTCACTACTGCTGATATGCATTGTTCTTGTCCTGGTGTTGATAACAATTTTGAGCAAACCTCGTTATTGCCACCAAAATCAAAGAACGCAGGATGAATTTGAGATTGATATAGACGGCAACATACCAACTACAAGAAGTAACAAGAGGAATGCCAAGGCACAAGTGACTTGCGTCGCAAAATCGAACTTCTCATTTGATATAGAGGTATTGTCCCACAGTGATTGCGAACTAAGTGATCTCGTTTAATGAGTTGCAAATAATCGGATCCTTGTGTTTGCGCAAGGATTTCTGGGAGCCACGGGGCAAACAATATATGGCGAAAGGTCGCTTTTACGTCCAAAAAAATTTTTTGGAGAGAGATCAAGGCTTTTTCGCCACAGTTTTATTATAAATGGATTAACCCTTTAACTCCCATGAGTGACCGAGACAGAATTTCTCCTTACAATATCAATACAATATCAACCAGACAAGCGATATGAATAAAGAAAAATATCAATTTGGGGATAATTAGTTGATCCAATACTAAGTTCTCTGAACTAATATTATAAGAATTGTATGATTGACAGTACGGATAATTATAAATTTTATCGGGGAGTTAAAGGGTTAAGAGAATTTTGATACAAGAGAAGAGTAAGTTTTTGTGAGCATTGCCACGAAATATGTTATAAAATATACTGACTGGTAGCGTAAGGTCTATAATATAGTTGTGAAATTGTTATCCTGTGATGATCTTGACATATTGCAAAATTAGCCTTAAATAGCACAGATATAACTCACTCTCACTAAAGTGATGGGGAGATGTGGTTTTAGATCCCTAACACTTTCCGTGTGGATCTATCACTGCTTTTCTGAAGGCACAGTGCACAAGTTATGAGTATCAAATCTGACTATTTATGGGAAATCAGCTGAAACTAAAGCTCACGTCAAGGTTCTCCTGTAGGGAGTAGGCAACATTGGCATGCATATTCTCCATACTATTCCCTATACATTCCCTAATGTTCTGATGAGGAGAATTTGTTTCATAATCCAGCGTCGTTCTGGTTGATAACCATTTCCTTTATTCTCATTACCTGAATGTTTGATTCAAGGGTGAAATTGTAAGGAGAAATTAGATGCTAGTCACTCTTAGGGGTTAAAGGGTTATGGTTTTCATACAGTCATACATGCAGTTAATATCATCGCACATACAAAATGAAAAAGTCAAGTTGGTGAATTAAAATCATGTTAGCCTATGACTATCTAAAGATGACTTGATTTTAGCTTTTCAAACAATGGTTGGCCTTGTCAACAATACTTCTGATGTAACGCAAATATCATGTAAATAGAGACTGTTCCTTTCTGAGAAATTCCACATATACTTAGGCATAACAAGCCAAATTGGACATTGCATATAGCTGATGTAAGAAAGGATTTCTGAACAAGCTGAACTTACTCAAAAGAAGCTATTTTTTTACCAATAAATTAGCTTGCTGATCTTTACTTCAAAGTCATACTATCCTCAGTGACCTAAACCCTTCCTGCCTGGGGAAGTTAATCGAACAGGGAACAATTTCATAGTTAAGAAGAATTACACATAGGAGATGCTAAGATTATTTATAATCTTTCTCGTGAACAATTTATTGGTGATGAAACAGTAGATAAAGTAGGCTGGTACATTCTTCCCATAATGTATACCTTAAAATTAATGAAGTTTGTTTAAAAGGCTTGTAACAACTTAGTTCCTAAGTGCATGGATAGTATTTTGCTCAAGTGCGTTGATAATCCTTTTGGCTTAGGTCAAGAAATAAACATCACGTAACAGTTTCACATTTTTACACAGATTACATGAAGCAATCAATTCATTGTAGAGGTTCAATATCATGGAACAGAATGATAGCTATTTACATAGATTCTAAGAGTATAAAGCATTTCTGTAAACTTTTAACTAAGTCCTGTGATTTCTTATATTTTAATTTTGATGGTTTTAACTGATCGATGTTAACCAAAGTATGATATGTATATGTATTCTTGAGATATGGTTGAGTCAATCTTAATATGATATTGAAATATCGTATCGGGATTGATTGACTTAACCATCAGACACTGTTGGGCAGTTTTCCTGAGTTTGATAAATATCAGTAGAAATCAATAAACTATTGGTTTTTGCTGGTGTCTATTAGATTCGGAGTGACTGCTTAGCAGTGTCTGAGATATACATTGCTTCGAAATAAGTTGTTTGTTTTTTTTAAATTTTAGATAAATTGATAATTATTATTTTAATATTAGTTATGTTGTATTGATTTTGTTGTAACACAACCCCATAAGCCTCTGGCTTCAAACATCTATTGTATTTTAAAGTTATTATTATTATTATTATTAGAGTATTACATGAGGAACTTCCGTAAATCTGGTTGTTTTGTTCAAGTCTGAAATGAATTTCAAGTCAAATTCATCTTAAACTGATTTGATTTTGTAAATAAATCCAGAACCAAAGAAAATACAAATCAGTCTTGTGTAAAATTTGTTTACCTGGAATTCATTCAAACCATAACATTGTAAATGAATTCAAGCTTACTTCACATACATAAGCTGCCCCTCTGGCAGGTGGTATTTTTCCAAGATCCTACCAGCTAGATGAACAAGACTACAAAGCACAAAAATACACCTAATAGTTTAGATTGACTCCACAGCTGTACAAGACTAACATGGAATGTGGAAAGGTTTCCCTAAATCAAAAAGTAAATGAAATCAGCTTAATTCACCATAAATGGAAGCTGTACCTTTAGCCTGTGGTATTTTCTAAGCCACCGAAGATCCTACAGGCTAGAGGTACATGACCAAGGAACAAGAAGATGTTCGTGGAAAACGTGATTCTAATGAATTGCGAGACTAAAACAGAATTCCAAAGGGTCAAATCTAAAGCAAACTGTAACAAAAAATTGGCGAAAGTCAATTAAATATGCAAGCCGTACCTCTGGTATTTTCTAAGCCTCTTAAAATCCTACCAGTTAGAGCCTACAAGACTAAATAAAATAAAACTAAATGTAAAGATATTCATGAAAAAAGTTATCCAAAGGAGTGTATGACTACATTGGAGTGCAGAAAAGCAAAATGCGGAGCAAGCCGTCGTAAATGTTGGGCGAAGTGAACCAAATATGCAAGCCGTACCTCTTAACAAAACTAAAAGTGAATGTATTTATAAAAAAAGTGATCAGTGTCAGTCTTCAATAGCAGTCCTAATAGTCGGTAGGCGAAAATTGACACTTCCACAAATAAGTATGGCTTTTTCATAATTTTTGGTATTTTCTCTTATTTTCCCTTTAGCACACGGGAGATCTTGACTGATTCACGTAGATGAGCAATCAATCATGCCTATTAATTTATTTAATTTCTTTGATACATTTTAAACTGATCCTTGATCCTTGATCCTTGATCCGGTGATCCGGTGATCCTTGATCCAATTTTTCCAGGAAACCCTCCTCGAGCGTACCGCTAGCCTGAAGGATCTTGGGCGCATTATTTTGTTATGTAATCATCAAATATGGCCGGTTGAGTAAACGATCGCTAGCTTATAACATTAGCTCGCCCTAACAAGAAAATGTTGGTCCTGTCGACCTTTTCCTTTTTTATATTGTCCTCAACAAGAACCTGCCAAGGTATGTTATAGTCTACTGGTATGTTTATAATTTGAATGAAGACCTGTTATGTCTACACTTACGCGGCATTGATAAATCATTACACGATCGGTAGAACTAATCGCACGTGTCATAGATGAAAGTCATCCAAAGCCTGATTATAAATTTGACGATATCAAATGCTTGCGAGATCAAACATACATTCTCCCCCTATCGAGTTCGCCCCTTCGAGTTCGCGGCGGTTACTCATCGTCTCTCAAAGTGTATTACCCTTTGTTTGATAGGTGCTGAGGTTACAGTACAAATTAACCAGACAATCGTGCTAGCGTGCTCTGCAGCAAATAATTCAGAAAATGTGGAACATATCGGTTGGTACCGCTGCCGTACTGCTGATTGCGAATCCAAATGGGACAACTCCCGGATAGCTCGTGTTGAACGAATGAGAGAGCCAATTGTTGATAACACTGACTTTGACATTTACGTAAATGGAACATTAGTTATCAAGAGGGTAAAAGCTGTGGATGATGGAAAAATTTTTATCTGTAAAGCCAAAAGAAACCTGACAGGGGTGGAAACGTCCACCACGATCCTCAAAATAGCCAAAGGTGATGTTTATATGAGTGTTATACAATGATGATAATAGTAATAATAGTAATAGTATTCATGATAAAAGTGTTCGGTATTTAGCAGGGGACAATCCACGTGGTGACTTTTGTTGTCCACAGTTTCCAGGTCGAAATGAAATTTGGGATATTGTTTTTCTGAGGGGGAGGGATAATTGGAGAATGCGGAGAAAAATATATGGAGCAAGGACGAGAAGCAACCCACGCGTGACGCCAGTGGTCCATTTATTAAGGGTACCTGTTATTTAACATGCCCTTAAAATGTTCTGTTTTCATTTACGTTTCTTTTAGTGTTCTTCATGTTGTTTTTCACTCTTTTTTTTTTTTTTTGCCTCTATGTTTTTCTCTTATTTTCTTCTGTTTTGGTTATGGTTTTGTTTCGTTTTGTTTGTTTGTTTGTTTGTTTTTTTGTTTTTTTTTTCATTTTCTTACCTAAACCTACTACTATTTTAGAGAAAAGCTACACACTTACTCAGACGCTTCGAAAATGTTTTCCCTCTGTATCTAGGTAAGCCAGTGACAACGACCACAGCATCAGGTAGGTTCTCCCACTCTTTAACCTTTTCAGATGACCCAAAAGGACTGAACAGGGTTCTGAGAACCCCTCAAGTTCCATGTTTGTAAACTAGCAACCAGTCTGAGATATATATTTTTTATCTCCTTCAAAAGGGATTGGTCTTCACTTATTTTCTTTAAAACAATCAATTGCTAAATGTGGCCAAGTTCAAAGAACATTGAAGGCGAAGGCAACAATGGTCTTGCTCCTGGGCAAGAATATAGATCTTGTTTGATTTTTGCATCTAAAAACAAAGAATCTTAGAGCAGCATTGAGTATTCTTCCAGTGGATGTGAGAATACATGCACTTATTTTTTGCTTTAAATAATATCAATAAGTAACCCAAGGAGAGCATCATAATTTTTTTTCTCTTGTGGGAGCTGAAAAATTACACTACCCTTTGTTACTATTTACAGGAGATCAATGTCGTGAAGATCTCCAACAATTACAATTTGTGGCTGGACATAATTTCTGATTGCTGAATCATCAACAATAAAAACAAATTTTACAACCAGTCTGCCATTTTCAGTTCATCCCTTTCTCTTTATTTCATTTTATTACACTCAGGTTATATAAATGTATTTTTGTTGTTTTTTTCCCTTTTCTAATCTAAACCAACTGCTATTTTACAGAAAAGCTACACACTTACTTAGACACTTCCAAATTTTTTTCCCCTTTGTATCTAGGTCAGCCAGTGACGACAACCGCAGCACCAGGTAGAAGTCTGAAATAAGTATTTTTTTATCTCCCTTGAAAGGGACTGGTATTCATCAATTTTCTTAAAGACAATCAATTGCTAAAGTTAAGTTCAAAGAAAAGTGGACAGCAAAATCTTCTCAAAAATCTATCACTTGGCTTGTAGATATGAAATTTCTGTTCTCGCATCGAACTAGATATCTTACTCATGAGCTATCGCGTTAAGAACTTGAAGAGAACTTCAATATCTACACGCACCCATGTATTTGTCTCTCTTTAATGCCAATGTAGTGACACTATTTTCTCATTATGACACAGCTCCAGACTTAATTCATGTGGCAATTTACCAGAGAGTATCAACACAATGGTCACTGAGGCAGCCAGAATATGGGATGCTTATTGGGTGGTTTTCCTTCCCAACTCATGATTGCAATAATGAGTGAAACAAACACTGGGTAGCTAACATTTACAGCTCATACAGTAGTCTTCACGGTGTTTTATTTATTTGCAACGGAGCCCTCTTCTCTTCAGTTAAATAAATTAACTACCCATTGTTCAAGGATTATTGCACATTGAAAACAATGGCTGAGGTGTCTATTGTTTTTTTTGTTTTTTGTTTTTTCTGCATTTAGGCATCCCAGGCCGTTCATCCTCACCACTACCAGGTAAACACTGCAATCCGTACTTTTTCTCCTTGCTCTAATTCCTCCTCTTCTCTCTTTCTTCTCTTCCCTACTCACTGCCCCCCTTCTCTTCTTTGGAGGATCAACCCATGACTAATTTAATGTTAATCGTGTTTGCATTGGTAGTGATTCCGTGAATAAAGGCCTTACATTTTCTTTCCACCTGTTCAATGTGCTACAATCCTCTCTTTTTAATTTATCTTATTTTTGTTTTGTTTGTTTGTTTGTTCTTTCCTACTCAGATACCCCAACTTCTTTGTCTTCATCTTGTCCAGGTTTGTATACTGTTGAAACTAAGCGAGCATTGTTTTAGCCTTCTTGTGTTATTCTTACTTTTTGCTTCATCTCATTTTTCTCATATCTTTTTGTTGCTTTTGGTGTTTTTTCCTGTTCTGAGGTGTGATAAGATATCTTTTACAAGCAATATTTGACAGCTAAGTCCATCAGCGGCATTTGTGAATCATTACTTTGGTAACTTCTCTCTCCCATTTATGCTCCCATTCATGTTCCTATTTATGCTTGGGAGCTTCATGTCATTGAAGGAATGGACCTTCATTTGGATGCTCGAGTGCGGGGCTATCCTTACCCCTGGGAAACCTGGCGCCATTCTGAGGTTCTCCTTCAGAATACATCAAATTTTGATTCAGAAACAAGGCTTTAAGAAAAAATGTCACTTTATCTGATGGCTGACTTTACACCTGCTATGCCAAGAATTCATTTGAACATGTTATCTTAACTGTAAAGGTTTACATTAAAGGTACTGTCGTGAAAGAGAGAAACAGAGCAAGTTTGCTGTTTTTGGTCTATTAATTTCTTTTAGTGTTCTTCGTGTTGTTTTTTACTTTTTTTGTTTTTTTTGTTTTGCTTCTTTGTTTTTCTCTTATTTTCTTCTGTCTTGGTTTTGGTTTTGTTGGTTTGTTTTTTTAGTTTTGTTTCATTTTGTTTTTTTTCATTTTCTTATCTAAACCTACTGCTATCTTAGAGAAAAGCTACACACTTTTTCAGACGCTTCCAAATTTTTTTCCCTCTGTATCTAGGTCAGGCGGTGATGACGACTGCAGCATCAGGTAGGTTCTTCCGCTTTTAACCTTTTCAAATGACTCAAAAGGACTGAACAGGGTTCTGAGAACCCCTCAAGTTCCATTTTTTTAAACCAGCAACCAGATATATCTTTTTAACTCCCTAGAAAGGGACTCATCTTCATTAATCTTCTTAAAAACAATCAGTCGCTAAAATAAAATGTGGTCTATTTCAAATAAAATTGGACAGTGGAACCTTCGCAAAATCTATTTTGAGTTGTATATCATATTTGTGCTATTGAGGACTGTTATCTTTGAAGTAAACTCAACCCATGCGAAACCTCTGATATCTTTTTTACCGGTAGTTCTCGACTACCTCATTTAATTATCCGAAAGCTTTCTCCTGTACATTGCTGAATGTACTCCTCTAAGTGTAACTCGAACAAATTCAAAGACTATGATTTTATAGTTATTAAGAATCTTTATTGTGGTATAAAACAGACAAACTTTGAAACATCATATGAAAGAATAGAACAATATACATACATATTTAACTTTAATTCAACCATTAATTTTTCTAAAATATATCTCTTCACTAAATCAGTATACTTCTTAACAGTGCAAGCATTGCCAGAAATTACACCGAATCAGCAAATGTGATAATGCGAGGCAGCTTATAATCAAGACTGATTTAATTTTTTAAAGTACAAAAAATTATCAAAATAACTCAAAGGCAACAAATGGTCCAGCTCCTGAACAGAAATATAGATATTGTTTGATTTTTGCGTCTGAAAAACAAAGAATATTAGAGCAGCATTGAGTATTCTTTCAGGGGGATGTGAGAATACATGCACTCATATTGCTACTTTAGATATTATCAAAACATAAGCTTTCAGTGAGTACTACATCAGGTGTTTGCACAGTTATTGAAAAAGGAGAAAACAATGGCAAGAGTCTACCTGTAGCAAATTTCAAGCAATTCTTGCTCTACAAAAGTAAAAATTGCCTTTGACTTATTAAAGGATACATTGAAAGTATAAAATGAGCCAAGTAACCCAGTGAGAGCCCACAGTTTTTTTCTTGTGGGAGCTGAAAAATTACACCTCCCTCTGTTACTATATACAGGAGATCGATGTCATGAAAATCTCCAACAATTACAATTTGTGACTGGACATAATCTCAGATTGCTGAATCAACACCAGCAATTAAAAAAATTGAAAACCATATCAAAAACGAGCCAAAGTGCAGAAAGAGCATGTAGCCAGTCAAAATTACCAGCTAGTCTGCCATTCTTAGTTGGTCTCTTTCCCCTTATGTCAATTTATTTTACACACATAAAATATATTTATAGGACATTTTTTCTAAAACTTTAAGGTAAAAAAAAGTATAAATGGAAGTGGAAATTTAGCTCAATGCTTTTCATTTATCTTCCCTTCATGGCTTATGGGGTGTACAACCATCGAAAAATGAGTCAACTATTCCATGTGCAATGTTTATCTAATGGTTTGACCACAGAAATTTAAAAAAAACTGCTAAATCAAAAACTGGAGAAAAGAAGGCAAAATTAAATACAACCTAAAGTACTTGAACCTTTGTATCTGGACTTCATAAGGAAATGGGCTCAGTAATTTTAGCTGTTCTGAAGTATTTTTGTACTAAAGTAGCAGTTTTTTAGACTCCTTCTGTACCTCCAAAATGGTCACAACTTCATTCGATGCATTTGTGATGGTAAATACACAAGAACAAAGGTCATGAACTTAAATGATCATTCTCCACGCTTTTAGTTTAGGGCAAGAAATTCAGCACCACAAAATTGTTTATTTTCACTACAAGCAGAAGAAGCAAAGCAATAGATTTTTTAGCTTCGCGAATCCATTCAGTTTCCATCGCAATACACTTGGTACAGTTAAGTCCGTTCGCGTCTTGACTCCAAGTCGACCCAGTGCAACCTTGTGCGACACAATGTGCTGTATCGTTACAAAGTGCCGACTACTGGCGCAAGTGTCATGTGACAAAATATTCTCGATTTGCGAAAATTTTCTGGATTTTGAAAAGATTCTTAGATTGTAAACTAATTTCGATTTTCATGAAAGTTATTTGTGGATCTATGAATGAATCCAGGATTTGAAATTGTTTTCTCGATTTGACAAACTTTTCAAAAGCTATTTTTCCAAGAGATATCGATTCTTAATATTTTTCGGATTTTCCAAATATTTTTGGATTGTCCCTTCTCGGTATCCGTAAAGAACTCGTGTCGTCTCTAGGTTCATTGTTCATTGCAATCAATTTCTTGAATTTAAGACGCTCTTTTATGATAGGTTAGGACTGCTTTAGTACCTCTGCATCTTGGGCAATGGCGATGAGGTCTTGGCCATCAAAACCGTCCTTTTTCTGAAATATAACATGCGAACAAAGATCAATGGAGCGGTCAAGTTTGTGTTTATAAAGTTGTAAAGGAAATTTCTTCAGCCTACCTATCCTTTCTTAAGTTTCAGGAGAAAATAAATGTGACTGGAGCCAAGAAAAAACCTCTCAGTGATGAATTCGCTGCTATTATTCATTATTGCATCCGATGCACGCGGTCAAGGTCCAACTAATGTGATACGCAGAAGGAGCTGCAAAGATGCACTAACAAAAAAAGAATGATTTTTGGAGATGAGTCGCTTTTATAACAAACTAAGCTCCTTACGTTTTATCTCGTCAGGGGTTTTTGTGGTTTCTTTTTCACAGACACTCAGTTGGAGGATATTATAGACGTAGGTTACAAGTTTTTATTTGTTTCATATTATTTTTACTTTTTTAGATATCCAAAGTTCCTCAGTTTCACCTTCCTCAAGTAAGTATACGTCTGTTCCTTTCTTTTCTTTGAATGAGTTGATCAACTTTTTTTTTTTTTTAGTATAATAGTCTAGCATCTTACTACAACAACCTAGATGATGCAGGCCTCTTGAGCCCGTGCTTATCTCTTCCCCCGGTATAAACACCGCTGTTACTTAGCGAGGATCTTTGTTTAAGCTTTCAAAAGGTCCTTTATGTTTTTATCTTGTTTTTTTTTGTCAGCTAAGATGCAATAAGACATTTTTTTTTCTAAAGGTACATGGCCGAAAAGAGTGGTGTAATGATTTTTTTGTTTGTATGTAAGCTTTTTTATGATCCCCGAGAAACCATTTTGCGCAAAATTGGGGTTAATTCATTTTTACAACAAAGAAAATAGGGCCATAGCGATTTATGTAACAAACACTTAAATCAATAAAAGCTTTCAGGATCGTCGGGAGATGAAATCGTGAATTTTTGTAACTAGCTCAGTCTTTTCTGTTGGTGTCTAACTAAGCGAAAAAACATTTTCACCGATAAGAGTGGTCCACATATGTTCCTTCCCTATTCACACAAAACATTAAGCCACAATAAAATATAGGCCATTCAATATGCACTGGGTTTGGTGGTCTCTGTGATATACAGTATTACATAGTGCATGTACTTTAATAGTCCATGACTGAAAAGAAAAATATTAACTGTTCATTCCTAGGAAAGGAAGATCTGGATTTTGAGACAGCCTTCAACAAAGTCGCCCCTCTAATCTATTCCTTAACTGCACTTCTAGTAATTGCTGTTACAATCATTATTTATCTGGTTGTGAAGATCAAGAAGAATAAGAGGCATGGTTATTCCCATAACCATGGTTGTAGATTTGGAGGTGGCAATGACAATCAGCATGCCCTAGAAGATACCGTTGAAATTAACCTAGGAGATTGCCCGAATGAAGAGGACGGAGGAGAAGAACTATGATGTACGTAAGATCTAAACATTGACTTTCGGATCAGTATCAGTATCTGGGCAACTGCCCACCTACCCCTCCCCTAACTCAACGTTGGGTTAGGGGAGGGGCAGGTGGGCAGTTGCCCAAATACTGATATTGATCCGATTTTTCTACTATTATGTCATTTCACCATATTAGGGCAATGGAACGAGCAGAAAAATGCCACGGTGTTCCACTGTAGAACAGGGCACCAATACGAACCGAAACGGTTCGCTCGATCTTTAATTTCCTTTTTTTTCAGCAGCAAGCTTCCAAGCCCACAAGGATTTTTTTATGTCATCAGGAACACATAAATGGCTTCATTTGTGTTGTTTTATTCTTTCGCTTGTTCCTTGTGCGATCAGTACGATGCTCAGATAAGACTATACGAGGTTTTGAAAACTAGAAGCCAAACGACATCCTTTCTTCGATGGTTTAACATATAAAGCGAGCTGACATTTTTCTCATTGCTTGTACTTTTCCTTGCTCCTTCAGGCTCGGAAAAATACTACACAACTCGCACAGTATTTGCGCGTCTTGCATGTTATATATTGACCATGCACATTATAAGGAGGGGCAGTTTGCGATGTTGTTTATACCTCGGTTAAACAGGGCAGACAAGTGAACTTTGTGTTCAATGCATTTTTTATCCCCTAAAGTAGGCTGTACCTCAAAATGTCACGGTAATACAAATGTATGGTTTTCACTACCCTTCCCATGTAGATCGAAGGGAAATTTAAGTTATTAATCAAGTTAAATTATCCTACTACGTAGTCCTCATTAATTTTATAGTGGTACTCGCCGACTTGGAAGCTTTTGCTCCCTTAGTCACTACTCACTTTTCTCTTACGGGGGCGTCGCCAGAATTTTGTAAAGCGGGGGTCACAATGTGTTAAACAGAGGATTCTCCCCAGTTTTTGCTACCTGAATATTGTTTGTTTGCTTAAAAAAGGCTCACAAAAGGGGGGTCACAGACACTTAGGTCCCCCCCTTCCCCAGCTATGCAGTTGTCTCATCATTAAAGTCATTTTTTTATTTTCTTACTTTACATTTTTCTTTATTACTTTTTGTTTAATAATTGAAATTTATTTCGCTGAAATAAGTGTAATTAAATAAAAATTTACTACTGTCAGGGTAGGTGTGCAGGACAACAGCTATTTTAAAGAAAGGTCAAGTTTTTAAGAAAAAGAAAATCTCAATAAAAATGACTTACCTTGCAGTTGTGTGTTTTCCCCAACTGTCTCGTCGTCTCCTAAGCCATTTTAAAGCCTTTCAAGAAGAGCTCCCGACTAGAGAAAGATAAATCTCAAAATAGACGTTGTAAGTTCAAATTCTAGCGAGAGCTGAGTTGCCGAACTCCCAAAACTCATTTGTGCACTGTTTCTTAGAATGCAACAAGACCCCTTCCGGCCATAAAGATAGGAGTTAGTTTATTAGATTGATACTGATGAAATACCAGGATTTTTCCTTTTACTAGAAAATCATATCTTCATCGCGCGCAGTGAAGATACTATTTTTATCTTTCACGTGTAAGGATATTGGTGTCGCCATGGTTACTACCATGATTAGCCATTCACAAGAGAGCTTCCCCCTCAAGCGCGCGGACGGTTCTTTTGAAATTTCATCAGTATAAATAAAATAAACAGAACATTACATGGCCGCGCGGGGATACGAAGTTTATCTTAGAGTGCAGAAAGTATCTCTTCGCTTATCGTGAGAGATATCCTCTATATCTACTACTAAAACCAAGTTTGAAACAAGTTGTATTCACTATGAAAAAAGAACTGGAACATCTCACTCTAGCCTAATTTTACTGTGTTAGCAAGAAAAAAAAAACTTTCTAGAGGCAAGTCATTATTTATCTCTAGGGGAGGGGATGAGGTCCCAATTTTTTTTTGGGGTGGGGAAGGATCACATGGTTTTCAAGGGAGCGGAAAGAAAATCAGTTGCTTCCAACAGATTTTGAAGGGAGGAAATACAGAGAAAATCGACTACCGAAGCGGTGGGGATCATCAATTTACCACAGACCCTTACTGTAGGATCAGCTAAACTTCCTCTTGATACAACTAAAATCCTCTAATACTTTATTTTTCTGAGCTTACCGTGTTGTCAAAGGTGTGTAATACTGTTAAAAATACAGTAGCGGTAGATTATAGGCTTCAGTTTAGAACCCAAGTCGGTTGACAAACATTTGCCATTTTTGTAAGCACTTTCCCAGTGCAGATTAACCTCCAGGTCAGCTGCACAAAAAAATATCAATATTCTTTCATCGAACTTTCTTTTTCCGATCGTCGATCAAGAGAGGATTCTGAGAGAGAAACAGGACGTGTTCAATTAGATTTTATTTATCATTTTTTGTCCTTACATTTTCGACAGGAACTCGAAAATCATATGGGGACTCCAATGTCGCTATTACTTTACAGTGGTTAAAGACTTGCCCCTACTTTCACAATAACGCGAAGTTAACTTAAGGTGCACGAAGTATGTGATTTATCGAAATTTAGGTAATAGGTTGTTGTTCATCGTGGTAGCTGGATGATAATATAAATTTTGTTCTGTTGTCTCACGACAAAGTCACAAGATGTAGATCGCGACGTTTAGACTGCTTACTGTAAGTCTTCTTCAGGCAATAGGGTCGACTAGTTCCGGCACAGCATTAGGTATCATGATGGTCTGCTGCGATTGGTGCATTTCGATCTGGGTATTGTTTCCGTGTCATGGTTTCCATGAATTTACATCCCATTTTTCCCCCTTCCAACAGCGTAACGGTTTTTTTTTAAGGATAACTATGGTATATTCTATCATGCACTTAAATCTTGTGCATGGATGTACCATGTATTATCTTGCGACTGTAGCCAATCAGGTTGAAGTGGTTTATAATCATCTATTGACCAAGACACATCTTAGTTACGTTGAGTAAGTGACATACCGAAGTCATGTTTGGCTTGTCGGTTGGATAACCTGGCACTAGTGGGTTGCACTTTCTGTATACTCGTGGGAGAACAAGCACGTCTACCCTGTTGTGCTCAATCCTTGAAAGATAACGGGCTTTTTTCCGTGTTAAAAAATTGTTGTCATGATTTCCGCATGAATATTTTTTCATGAGCGTTTTTGTCACGCGTGGTAATTAACACCGTAAGACGCTCAGCGCCAGTATTGAATGAAACGATGCAGTTTATTTCCTCCCTTCCATTCTGCCACTAGAACTACATAAGCCCTAAGTCTACTCCCCTAAGTTCAAATTGACATGATCTTATATGCATATGCATTCCGGGGAAATGCAAAGAACTTTTGATTACAGTAAACAGCAAACTGCGAGTGTATCATAGAATAATTATTTTCACACCCAGAATTGTTAAGTTTTTGCCCTTTTCTCAGCATTCACTGTCCTTTTTAACAATCTATTTTGTGCCTTGTAGATGAGCAGGGAGGTTGACTGGCCGAGAAGAGGATGCCAATTAAATGACCATCAGGGCGTTTTTGCCATTCCTGGTACTCGCAAGGGAGTTTATAATCTAGGAACGACGCACTTATCGAACTATAAAAATACTTCATATACAGTTTCTGTATAAAATATTCTAGTTCGACCTCAAATCTTTTATGGGATGGTTCGACGTCTGTTAGTTGCATTCATGCGTTTCAATCGTTTCGACCGTAATAAAGAGATTACTGCGTTTCCGAAGGAAAACACCGTTTTGAAATTTCGCCAGCCTAACGTGATCGCGCCAAAGTCTCGTGCAAACATTACCCCCGTTAACCAATAAAACGAATTGATGAAATTCATTAAGGATGACGATTTCCTGTTGAGTAATCCCTGCTTCAATAGAAAACATACAAAGACCTTGTCTGCTTCTTGTTTGAAGATAATTATGACATGAATAGGTCAATAGAACCACAACTATATGACACACACGTATCTTTATCATCGCTATAAAATGAATAAACAACCAGATTAAAAAAAAGATTTCTAGATAGGTTAAAACATGTAGATTCGTCCCTGAGAAAAACATTTTCCGATCTCTTATTCCGTAAAATGGTCACTTCACTTAAAATACAAGACGATGTTGTGTGACCTTTTTTGTTGACGTCAGTGCTAAATATTGAACCTGACCAAGTCATTAAATTCACTTTTCCAGTCAACTCGCAATCGTGATCGACTATCAATTGTTCGCCGAATCGACGTTGATTTAATTTGTAGTGGAGTTTCGACTTGATATGTACATTTCTTTGAGAATAATTCTTCTATACTTCTTCTTTTCATCGGGCTCAATACTAAAATCCAAAGGTATGTTACTAGAGCACTTATTTTATAAAACCCCAGAATCTACTCACCGACCGGCAGATGTGTGAGTCACTTGTAACTATGGCGGCGGATAAACTATTTCGCAGCCGGAGAAGTCGCAATAAGGACATGTTTGTCTGCTGATGTGGAATCTTTCTCGCTTTCGGAATGAATTGAAATTTAAAACTCGTTACTTTTGATCCGCAGGTGATTTTGTATAATTCGGGAATCTCAGTTAGATTTCTATTTCCATAGTCTTACGTAGTGTTAGTGAATGCGGTGCGCGCGATAAAGAACTCACTTGTGGAACTTACATTTCATCATGATTAGCTATTAAAAAAAAACCCTCTCGCTCCGTGAAATATATAGCATTCTTTGGCGTTATTAACAGGTACTACTGTAACAAATATTTGAGCTGGTGATCGGAGTTGACCAAAGAAAGCCGCTTTAATATTATGCGAGTCTTTGGATGTAAATAATTCAGAGCAACAAGTTCTTTGGCGGCCTTTTCGATACTTCTGTCGGTGCAGAAGGAATTGTCGTGTATTCATCACTTAGGCCCAGTTCAGACGCCGTACTTCAGCCGAGCCGAATCAAATTCCACGAATTAAGTTCATGTGAAGAACGGCGTCTGAATCAATTCGGAACGACTGATTTAATTTAGATCGGCTCAGTCAATTAATCCTGCCTGGCTGAGCTGGGAAGAACGGCTGTAGGCCGGCTTTGATTCAGACGCCGTACTTCAACTGAGCCCCACCAAATCCATAAATTATTTCAATGACGATTTGCATTCTTTATCTTCTTGCTGTTTTCCAGCATTTTGAGCAGAAAAAAGTCCCATCCTTGCAGATTGCTGCCGGAATCCATGGCGTACACAATGTTTACAATCGTATGCTAAACCAAGGACCGAATATTAATTTTCTTCGATTAACTGATTTCTGCCGTATAAAGTTCGGCGTTTGAATCAATTTAGCCAGGATTAACTAATTTGGGTCGACCTATCGTTGAATTCGATTCAGCGCGGCTGAAGTACAGCGTCTGAACCGGGCCTTATCCAACCAAGCTTGGGTTAGCATTGCACTCGCCAGTTTAAATCTACTGTTAAACTCATGTTTTGACACCTTAAATGTCTTAGAGTGCACTCCATAGTATCAATTAAGTCACCAAATATGTAACAAGGTGCCTCAACATCAATACGTCATACGGTACGTCGATAAACTACTATAAAGCATTTGGGAAATTTTATTCACTTATTCAATGCGGCATATACCGATGGTGATTCAGTCAAGCAGATCGCAAGGGTGCCCTGTGTGCAGTAATTTTACGAAGCATGCATTAAAAAAAATAATATTAACAATTATGATAATAATGATGGTAACAAAAATAATAGCGAAAACCATCCTTGGAGACCCAAGGGCTGTGAGTCGTTTCAAGTCAGGGGCTCTTCCGCCCTAATGACGACAAGCTAAAATTCATTCCATATTTAAATCGAACGCTTCTAATCGGTCAGCGCGTAATTATATGCAAGTTTTTAAAAGGAAGCTCACCGAACACTCCTGAAAATCGGAAAAAAGGGAGGTACTGATAATGATAGTAAGAATGATATAAACAGTTATGATATTACAATGAGAATTTTAAAAAAATTATATTACCCTTTATTTGATAGTTGCTGAGGTTACAGTAAAAATACACGAGAGACGCTTGCTACCTTGCTCTGAGTCCAGTGATCTAGAAAATGTTGAGCATATCGGTTGGTTCCGCTGCTCCACGGCTGATTGCGAACTAAACTGGAACAAGCTCCGGATAGCGCATGTTCAAAATGTGGAAGAGACAATTGCCGATAACCCAAACTTTGACGTTTTCACCAACGGAACCTTACTTATAAGGAAGGTACTACCAGTGGATGATGGGAAAATGTTTATTTGTAAAACCCAGAAGACCTTTGAAGGGGTAGGAGGGTCCACCACGATCCTCAATATAAAGAAAGGTGATGTTTATATAGGTGTTATATAATGATGATAATGGTAATGATAACAATAATAATAGAAGTATTCATGATAATAACATTTGGAATTTAGCACTGGACAATCCACGTGGTGGCTTTTGTTGTCCACGGTTTACAGAAAGAAAGGACATTTGGAACGTAATTTTTCTGGGGGGTAAGGATAATTGGAGAACCCTCAGATAAAAATACGGAGCAAGGACGAGAAGCAACCGAAACCCACTCATGACGTCAGGGGTCCATTTATTGAGGGTCCCGGTAGCTTGACTTGCCTGTAAAATGTTCTGTTTAAAACAAGTTTACAATAAGACTGTTAGCTAAAGAAACAAATTGGACTGGTAAGTGTACCAGAACTTTCTTCTCTGTTCTTAAAATTTTTATTTTAAAATATGGCTTTTGGCCCTTAAAGTTTCTGGGACTGAGAAACGGGCGCCACGTCGCCATCCCCACTTCTTTTTATAAATTCCTTGTAGTAGTTAGATAGTTTTGATTTTTTTTTTTAGAACCCCCAAAATTAATACCAGAGAGTCCTCTGGAGGTTCATGTCATTGAAGGAATGGATCTTCATATGGATGCTGGAGTTCAGGGCTATCCTTACCCCTGGGTAACTTGGAGCCATAATGACCTTCTCCTTCAGAATATTTCGAATGTCGATTCACAAACAAGTCTTAAAATTCGTAACGTCACTGTATCTAAAGGTGGACTTTACACTTGTTACGCCAAGAATTCAGTTGGACATCATATCCTCACCTTTAAAGTTTATGTTGAAGGTACTGATTTTATTTGTATGTTGGACAGCTTTGTGAGAGTAGATGTAACCTGTCAGGAGAGAGAAACGCAGTGAAATTTTGCTCTTTGTATTCTATTAATTTCATTTATTGTTCTTTGTGTTGTTTGTCACTGCTTGATTCCTCTTATTTCCTTCTGTTTTGTTTTGGTTTTTTTTTTTTCGTCTAAACCTACTTCTATTTTAGCAAGAACCTATACACTTGCTCAGATGCTTCCAATTTTTTTCCCTCTCTATCTAGGTCAGGCGGCGAGGACAACTACAGGATTAGGTAGGTTCTTTCGCTCTTTAACCTTTTCAGATGACCTTAAAAGGATTGAACAAGGATCCGAGAACTGCTATGGCATATAATACAAATTTCTGACCTCTTTAAGATATGAACAGATGGTATAGTATAGAAGTTATTTACTTTGCCACACTGTTTCTATCCTTAGATATCCAAACTCCATCATCCTCACCAACATCGGGTGAGTACAATGTGTTCTTTTACAATTTTCTCAAGGTCAGTTTTGGAGCAAATTTTAACTGAGCGTGTCCAAACATATGTAGGATTGCATTGATTTTTATCAATTCTTTTTTTTTCGCAATTAAGAAGTTATTTACTTTACCACTCTGTCTCTAGCCTTAGATATCCAAACTCTGTCATCTTCAACAACATCAGGTAAGCACAATGTATTCTTTTTCAATTTACTCAATGTCAGTTTTGGAGCAAATTTCAACTGTGTCCAAACTTCTATAGGATCCCATTGATTTTTATCAATCCTTTTTTTCACGACCAAAATCTTTATTACTGGTATTTGTTTATCATCGAACTCAACTCTACTATGTCTTAAAGAATTTCACATACAATGATTCCCTCCGCTTCTCCCCTCACTCCCCTCCACTCCAATACGCCTCCTCATCCGTATTCCTGCTCACATCCTCTCCCTCTCATAGGGAAACAAATTATGGTCGAACCTGCGTTAAGCGGTTACCCACGCGGAATGGCAGCATGACCGCTTCACACAGGTTGACTGCTGTGTAGGTTCCACAGAATAGGGGTATTAAGATAAACGATTAAAAAAAAGGGCCATTTTATGCCACAACTGACCACTTTATGTACAGACACTACCTCCTAAATACAATTGGATTTATTTGGGTGGTTCCGCTTTAATTGACCGTTCAATAAAGATGGAAGACGGTACAAAAAGGCCGTTGGGACGCAGACCTTTTTTTGTCATATAAAATATAACTTACAAGATTTTTTTTCGTGTAGAGCTCGCTTGGCGGCAGGAAGAGAATCTCTTAAGACTTTGAGACCTAATTAGGAGAATGAAACCTAGTTTAAAGAGAAACTGGGACTGAAAAATATTTGACGTTGAGTAAATGAAGAAACGAAGAAATGCAAGGTTTAAAGTGACTATGAATGCTCGGACTTTAATCCGTCATGAGTTATTAACTTAATTCCAATCAACTTAACTCCAATCTATGCTTTGAATGAAAATTTCAAGGTTTTCTTTCATTTTTCTTTCATTTTTTTTATTTATTTATTTGTGTTTTTTTAGGGGGCTCGAGTTTCGCTGGATGGAAAATTGCTCTAACAGTGGTCGGTCTTCTGTTGTTTTTGATGGGAACAATAGGAATCTTTTGCATTCTCAAGAAAAAGAGGATACCGGCAAAACTACAGTTATGCAGGCTGTGCCGGAGATGCAGATACATAGTATAACCGTAACGAACCGTTTTACTTCTATTTTCCAACTTTTTCGGAAAAGTGTGACATGCATTTTTTTACCCGTCTATATTAAGTAATCTGTTCATTAGCTCTCGTCAAGAGATTTTGAACTATTTGTATTCTCTGTCCTTGTCTTACATTATCCATTTTCACTAAGGAAAATACAAATAATGTGCGAATTAGGTGTAAATATGAATGGATAATTGGGCTTAGTGGACTGCAATTTCTATTGGTAATTGAACTGAGTGGAGTGCAGTTTGGTCTGAAATCATCGGTGTGATTTCATAAACTCGCAGCGCGAGTTTGATTGAAATCACAAGAATGATTTCATATCAAAATTACAAGACACGAAGTTTAATTACCACTCTATTACATCCATTTTGAAATAGCAAAATTCAGCGAGGCAATACAAGGTATTTTCATTCTGTTCAAATATTTTATTGATCCAGTATATTGAGCCGGTTTATAAAAAGTTGCAAAAGGTGTCATTTTCTCGCGATTTGATTGATTTTTTTGAACAGGCCTTGAAATTTGATTGATCGTCATGTTTTAGTAAAGCTGGGGAAAAAATGCCATTAAGAGCATAAAATGATGTAATTTGATAAAAAAAATTACACTGGAAAGAGCCAAACAGATTGCAAGGATCACAAGTGATTTGAAAATGGATGCAATAAAGGCTGCAATTGGGCGAGGAGTTTCAAATTGGACAAGCGCATAGCGCGAGGCTAATTAGAAATCACGAGCACGATTAACCCTAATTTGAGCGAGAAACAGATGAAATCGAACTGATAGGACTTGAAAAAGCCATATTAGGGAGTGTTAGGAACCACTAAGAGAACATCAGTTTATAATCTCTTGGAACACATCAAATTCGAGCATATTAATGTTGCTGCCATGCGATGTAAGGAACACAGAGTCTCTGGGGGTATTTAAACGTAAGATCAATGACATTCTTTAAGTCTAACGCACGGCACTCACGGAAAACAGCTTTTAGTGTTATATTATATAGTTTGAATTTTAAATATTCTAGCGTATGTCATATGTATTTTTTAGGCTGATGAATTGACCGTGTTTAAATAAAAATAAAATGAAATAAAATGAAATGAAATGAAATGCCACCCGTTACCCGTTGCAGTGTTCGATTATTTGGACTGTTGGTATTTTGTACTCCCAAAAAAACTTGTTTAACAAGTTGAGTACGCTACGTTTGAAAATATAGCAAAGGAAAATGGAAAGTGGATTGTACCATTTTTAGTGAAGGGATCCCGAGATAACGTCAACCAAGGGGAAATAAAACAAGTCAGCGTCTAAAAAAGTAGACTGGTGGAGTTTTTCTTTTTTCTTTCTTTTTCTTTTTTTTTTTTTTTTTTTTTTTTTCTTTTTTTTTTTTTTTTTTTTTTTTTTTTTTTTTTTTTTTTTTTTTTTTTTTTTTTTTTTTTGCTCAAACCTTGCACTCAGCGGTCTGTGGGTCAAGGTTCGGCTTTATTTTCGTTCCGTCAAACATCTCACTTACCTGTCAGTCTTTTAATCATAACATCATTATCTTTCGAAGCATTCATCAGTCATAGATGGTGGAAAGCAAAAGCAATGATATGTTAGACGATCGCAAATACTACGACATTCAAGGGTACTACTCCTGATCACCCCATAAATATCGCGTCTGTCCGTGAAAATTAAAAGCAACTTAGGGCGGAGGGGGATAAAAACCCAGGAGGAACTGAAGAACAATTCTGTCAACTATTTTGCTCTCGAGTTCGACCTCATTACAAGGACAGGAAATGGGTCTATTTAGGGATCGAGGCTCAAGATTTAAAAATATCGCTGTTCACAGTAGCTGAGAGTAAGCCACCGACAAATTTTTTCGTATACCGACTGTTTGGTTGTTTTTTTTGGTTTTTTTATCAATTCTTTCGACAAACTTCGTTCCTTTTCCTTTGCAGTGGTCCACTAGGCTAGTCACGCAACGAGCTCATCGATTCGTGACAAGCGAAAAAGACGGCTACGAAAGAAATTAGCAAATCAAAACAGAGCTCCTGAGTTTATATTTTTGAACATCAATTACCATAACATTGTTACCTTGATATACCACTTAACTTCTCTTCTACGCTTTTCTCGGCACATGGATCGCTTTCCTATTGTCAAGTAAGCTGAGATTTCAAGAACAAGACGGTGCGTGCTCTGTTGGTATTCATTTGTTTCTCGGAAAACAGATACGGCCGATTACGTCGAAACTGATATAGGTGAATGTCATTATTTTAAGGAAAGATCGTCACTTCACGAAGTTTAGGAGCATCAAGAATGAAGATTATCGGGTTTTACATCACATTCTTTATATGTTTCGTGCCAGCTCTAGTAACAGGTTAGTTACCAGCTCTAGTAACAGGTTAGTTACCTCAAGCCTCGCACGCTTTTTAGGGGTATTACGGGGAATCACATCGTGTGAAATTGGTAGTTTAGTGAAAGGCGGAAGCGACGGCGACACTTATAGTTTAGATTTAGCTTTGGTGATACGTGAATTTTAGAAGCAATATTTCCTATGCTCTTCATGTTCAACTATGAATATAAATAGAGAATATTATAGGTGCGTGTTGATGTGGAATTTATCATCGAGTCTTCATCTCGATAGCTCACGAGTGAGCGTAGCGGACGAGTTGAACACGACCAAATCTTAAAAATTTAGTCGCCAAATTGGCCACTAGAATGTTTCATCATAACCTCATCAAGATATATAGTGAATTAAAAAGATTTGCAAAGATAAATCCGCTGCAAACTTCCTCGTTAAGTCTGTTTCCAAAACGCAGCACAAGCATCTCGATCGACAACTAGACGCCATCTTGAATATAGGCTTGAAGATTGTATATGATCCATCCTAGTGTCCACTTTGTAACATGTTAAAGATCTTTTCCTCAGGCTCAAGGTCATAAATAAGTTTGTAATTGGCCAAGTAATCACTGTGCCTAAAAGACTTCAAGTAATCATGATTAACATTTGTTTAAAAATGCATAAATTCAGTCCAATTTTTATGCTTAAATTCCAAATTGTCTAGAACCAGCTACCAGTATATAATTCAGGAGATATTCATTGACCTGCACATTAGACTAGCAATGAATTCCATGTTCAGCTTGTGTTTAGCAAAAATTTCTCATTGAATCTCCATTACTAATTTCCCATTATATTTTCTTCAATAATTCACAACTTTGTATAGAGTAATTGTCCATCGTATTTCATTAATGTATATGTAGAGTCAGTTGAATTCAAATTGTAACATTGCATTTGCAACTGAAGATGACACACGCAATGTCAAAACATGTTTTGCAAACTTACCAACAGGGTTCTTGCACATGTTTTCAACTTAATTTTTGATGCTGCATAAAGATAACTGTTTTAGAGCTCTAATTAGTGTGATAGTGCTACTGTAAATCTTGTTATCATGCTTCTGTTTTGTAACTTTCATGACTAGACATGTCAGTATACATTAAGGCCCACTAGTTTCTTCTGAGAATCCTAAACTAGTTTAAAAATCAATAACAGCCACAGCTTCTTTAAGCCAAAAGTCACAACAATCTGAGATCTTCATCGAGAGAAGTAAGGATGCTTGCAAATTTCAGGATCCCTTTCATAAGACCTTTACAAAAAATCAGCTTAATTTGCCAAGATGCTTAAATACTATTAAATATTTTATTATCACTTTTTCTTATTTTTTTTTAAATTTTCATTATTACTTTTATCATAATTTTTATTGTTATTTCTGTTGTTATTATTATTATTATTATTTTTACATTACTGTCAGCATTGTTACATTATCATTATTAATATTACTCAATTATCATCATAATTCCCAATATTATTATCATTATTCTTGTCATTAACATATAACTTATCATTTTCAGTATCCTTGCCAATGTTTTTGGCAAGCATTGCTAGTCAGATAGCTAAAATTGCAATGGAGTTTCAAAATTATAGTACAAGTGCCTTGGTGATTTTATAAATTATGAAACATTAAACTTAGAATGAAAAATCTGACTGATAATTTGCATTTACCATGCCAAGGTCAAAGTCTACCTAGTTTTCAAGATCTTTGTCTGTGTAGTGTTCTCGTTTCTTTTGCAAACTCAGAGGGAAGTGTCCAATTCAGTTTTTTTTGGGCAATTGATATTATGAATTTTTAGGCCTGCTGTATGTTGTTTGCTTAAGCCTTTGGCTTTGAAAAAAAACCTAGAGCTCAGTTTTGATAATTCACGATCATCCAATAATTGCTCAATGGTTTAGTTTTTTTGCTGATCCATCTCTACTCTTTGGAAAAAGTGTTATTTTACAACTAATCCCTGGCATAATGTTTCATCTTGAGTCTTAGCGCCAACGCACCTTATAATTTTTGTTCAGGGATTGTCGATCCTTTTATTTTTATTCATATCAAAGTTGACATTTCTTGTCAGTAAAGAGCTGTTGTTTTTATATGTTGAATAAAATAGTACTTGGTGGCTTGTAGATATGAAATTAATGTTCTCACATCCAACTAGACATCTCACTCATGAGCTATCGCATTAAGCACTTGAAGAGAACTTATATATCTACACGCACCCATGTATTAGTCTCTATTTAAAACTATTTAAGTGAAACTATTTTTTCATTATGACACAGCTCCAGACATATTCATGTGGGAATTTACCAGAGAGTATTGCTACAGTGTTTACTGAGGCAGCCAGAATATGGGATGCTTATTGGATGGTTTTCCTGCCCAACTCACGATTGCAATAATGAGTGGGACAAACACTGGATAGCTGACATACGTTTTATGGAGAAGGTAACTCTTGAAAATCCACACTTCAATGCCTTTCTCAACGGGACTTTACTTATCAAGAAATTTCTCCCCATGTATGATAGAAGATACTTCATCATGCGAGTGAAGACAGATACAGGAGCCAAAGCAAGTATTTACCATCGTAAAGTAGTACAAGGTAATGTTTACCTCTTAAATATTCTGTTTTATGTGCTGTTTCTATGCGTCCTTCTGTCTATTTTCTGTTTCAATGTAAAGGGAATTGGAGTCCTGACTTCTTTACCAATATTCGTCATTTTTCCCCTTACCCGTTTCTAGGGCACCTACTTCTGACGCTGGTCAGTCAGCAAAATATCTATGCCTTTGAAGGGATGGATGTTTTTCTTTGAAGCTCAGGTGAAGGCCTACCCCTATCCATGGGTTTCTCTGAGTCATGTCTTGGAGTCACACGAAAGAGTAATACAGGAGACATCAAACGTCAGTTCTTAAAAACTTATGAAGATTCCAAGCATCACTAAGGCCAGCAGTGGTGACTATGTCCTATACGCTGAGAATACTGTGGGAAATGATACTCTCACTGTGAGGTTTTATGCGGAGGGTAAGTTCGTTCTACTCACTTGTACTCACTAATGCTGGATTCCTGGGTATAAATTTTCACATAAGCAAAGAAATGCCACTTAAATTCATGGAAAAGCCAGCTCTGATTACTAGATGCCACCAGAAGACCTTAATTTTCTTTAAAAAAAACAAAAATTTGTGGAACACTGCACCAATAGTTTTTGGGGGTGTGGCTCACTTAACATTACGGCTCATACACAAGTTTTTACGGTCCTTTATTTATTTGCATTGGAGCCCTCTTCTTTTCAGTTAAGAAAATTATTTACCTATTGTTTAAGGATTGTAACACATTGAAAACCATGGCTGAGGTATCTATTGTGTTTTTTCCTGCATTTAGGCATGCCAGGCCGTTCATCTTCACCACCACCAGGTAAACACTGCAATCCGTACTTTCTCTCCCTGCTATTTCCTCCTCTTCTTTCTTTCCTCTTCCTTGTGCATCGTTATTAAAGTAACTTCTTACTCTCATCTATGCTCGTATTTAATCGAGATATATAGGTTTTTATAATGATAAAATCTTATGTTTTATCTCCCATTAAGGTGACATCCCAACCTCAGAGGCTCCTAAACCTCCAGACTCTACTCCCTCAAGTATGTATGCCGTTTTTTTTGTTTGTTTGTTTGTTTGTTTATTTTTTCCCCGAGGAAAACAATACATATCAACACAAATGTAAACGAATTTCCTCTATAGCTGAATGACTGACCTCATTTATCTCTTCTGCTCCACCTGTTGCTTTTGTTGTTATTGTTAACCGTCGTATCGATTTTTCCAAATGATGAATGTGTTACTTTTAACCCATTGCAAAGATTTGTGATCTAAGCTTAGTTTTCAGAGTTTGATATATCTCACGTTTTATCCGAGTTATGCATTAGGGGAAGACGCTTGAATGCAAGAGATTTCTAAACTTAAAAATGCTTTCCTGATTGAAGCTTTAAAGAGATTGTAGAATATGAGGTTTAAGCTCATGCATGGTGCCCCCCAGGGGCTCTGTTATCAGGTTGAATGAGTATAATAAACTTACAGAGAATAATGACCTATTTATTCATAGATGAATGCAGCAACGATGTGAATTTTACGACAGCATTCAGGAATCCAAGTGTCCGTGCGTTGGTAATTATTCTGGCGTTGATAATTATTCTGGCGGTGATAGGCATTGTCATAGTGTTGAGATCAGTTTTGTTCAAAACTTGTAATTGTCACTTAAATCAAGGGAAGCAGTATAACTTGGAAGTAAATGATAAAGAATGCAACACTACAGCTAATAATAGCAACGAGAGCATTGCCAAGGAGCAAACGGACAGCGCTGAAAATGTGTACCAGCTATTTGTTGCAGTAGTAGCATTCGACCGTAATCGTGGGGCAATTGCTCTTGGTGGAAAATATAGATAATGCGTATTCACGTACTCTTTTAAAGCAGTGAAATCTAGAGTGCATATGGCCTTAAACCTTAGTGTCGTTATTAGTTATATTTGCTACTCTAAAACGGTACTTTGCATGGTTGCGTTTCCATTAATTTATCTTAATATATATATTTTATTTATTACTTATTTTTTGATCTTGTAAATTACTGAATCAGTGATACATTTCTTTTCAAGTGAGAAAAAAGAGTTTATGATGTCAGTAGGTTAAAAGCTGTAAAACTGAAAGATTTCTTTTGCAAAAATTATTTGATTTTTTTATTTTTATTTTCTGTGGATGTCATGTCTATGTCCTATACTTTTTTTAAATACATTCTTTGAATTTAAAGTGCATTTTACATCCTAAAGCCGCATTTTCCACTGTGTTTGAATATTTATGAGAGGTTTTCGCCACAACAGCTACTTAATCAGATCAATTTTTTTTCAAAAATAACCGAAGGTAATTAAGGCTATTTGAACGGAATTAAATAATTATTAATGTGAATTTCATGAAACCGTCTCCGTGGGGAAATGGCTTTGACGACTAACGGTTAAAATTCGGGCCGTTTTGTGGACATCGGTTTCTTTACTTCAATTGTGATTTCAAGAAAAAGTTTTATGTTTAACTCTATTTAACGGTTTAAATTGATCCACTTTTACGCCTTATGGCGTTAACTTAATTGAGACCCCCCTATTAGAGATTAAATTAAGAAAGTATCTATGGTGTATAAAAATTCTGTTCATTTTTTTTTGTGTGTGTAAGAAGTTGGAAATAAAATTTGCTTATCTTGCATTTGTTTTGTTTCTTAAACTTTCTGTTCGCATCCTTGGGAGCTTGGATTTCGAGTTGTACTGCCAATGACAAGTTATTGTGAGCGAGCTGGTGGACTAGCCAATCCGAGACGTAAAAAAAATTTCAAATCTCCATAGATGATGATAATAATAACGATAATGATAACTATTGTGATAATTATTATGATAGGAACGATAATTAGAATTATTATACACTCAGCTCACTATCTCTTTTCTGATTGGCCGAAAGCGTAAAGTGAATTTTTGCAAAAATTATTATGCAAGTATCAACAGTAGCATATTTCTCAAAACAGGATCACATTTAGCGTATTGGCCAAGGGTCCCTGAGAGAAAAAAAAAATTTCCCACGACTGACTGAGATCTTTAATTTTTGATTTGATCATTAGTCAGACCTCAATACTAAAACCAGATTCCTACAGAACATGTTTAGTTAAACAGGGTGATTGAAATCCTAAACAAAGAACTGAAAAAACATTTTTTCCGTAGAATCCAAGTAAGTCTCTAGCTTGTTTTTTCAATGTGCTAAATTTGAAGTCGACAAACATGGATTGAGGCAGCTCATGAAGAAAGAAAATTTAAACTGCGTTGCTTTGGTGTGAATGGGATATAAGACATATCATAATAAAGTTCGGGTATGACGCGCGCTTTCATTAACACAGGACGAAATGACATGTTTCCGTATTTCTGAAACGTGGCGGAAACATGCAACTCCATGTTTCCGTTATGTTTACGTAAAAGTGGTCCGGTTCCGTTGTATACGCAGCAACGGAAACGCGAGAAAACGTCACGAAACCGGTAACGGAAACATAGGTTATCCGTCGTGTTTCCGGAACGGTTTAACATGTTTCTGCCACGTTTCCGTTTACGGATTCTTGCAATTTCGTCCTGTGTAATTGGAAGAGCGTGCTCTATCAGATCTAGAGTACAACTACAAGGAGCTGAACTGAAGTTGTCACGCCATCTACCAATTTGTACTGTGTCCGACCATTTCCCGAACTTCCCCCTAGCTCTTTCTAAATTGGAAGTGGAATCTTGGAACAAGCGAGTCGGCAATTAGCAACAGAAGAACCAAACAAACGTTTGTAAATATGCCAAGAGCCGTATTTGACGTTATCACATCGTGGAATCATTATTTTTAACCCAAAATTGTCAAGTCTCCGCCCTGTTTCCAGCATTCATTGCCGTGAGGAAGACAGTCCCTTTTTTACGATCGATTTTGTGCCTTGCAGAAGAGCAGGAAGGTCGACTGGCTAAGAAGAGTATGCTTCTGAAGTGACCACCAGGGCGTTTTTGCCATTCCTGGTACTCGCAGTGTAGTATCTAATTTGTGTACGACGCACTAATATACTCTTGAACCGAACTGAAAAAAAGCTTCATATACAGGTTGAGATATTTCAGCGCAAACTCAAATTATTTGACGGGATGGTTCGACTTGTATTAAATGCATGCATGTGTTCTATCTTTTCTACTGTAATGAACACCGTTTTAAAATTCCGCCAGCTTCATGTTATCGGGCCAAAGTCTCGTGCAAACATAACCCCGGTTAACCAATGAACCAAATATATGAAATTCATTCATTAAACATGACGATTTCTTGTTAAATAATCTTCGCCCCAACAGGGAACATACAGAGACCTTGTCAGCTTCTTGTATGAAACACTTGTTTTTATTATCACCATAAAATGAATAAATAAACAAATAAAAAGAAAGATTCATAATAGGTTAAAACATTTGAGATTCGTTCCTAAGAAAACACTTTCCAACCTCTTATCCCGTAAAATGGTCACTTAACTTAAAGGGTAACTGAGAATGTTGTGTGACTTTTTTGTTGTTGACGTCATCACTAACCTTAGTTCATCATTCGACCTGACCAAGCAATTAAATTCACTTTTTCAGTCAAGTCGTGAGCGACTGTCAACTGTTCGCCGAATCGACATTGATTCATTTTGTAGCGGAGTTTCAACCTGATATGCACATTTCTTTGGGAACAATTCTTCTAAATGTCTTCTTTTCATCGAGCTTAATACTGAGATCCAAAGGTACGTTTATTAGAGCACTTAGTTTGTTTTATGGAGCCTCAGAATCTACACGCTGTCCAACAGATTTGAATTACTTGTAACTATGGCGGCATAAATACTCTTTCGCAGCCGGAGAAGTCGCAACAAGGACATGGTTTCTCTGCTGATGTGGAATCTTTCTCGCCTTCGGAATGAATCGAAATTTAAAGCTCGTTTCTTTTGATTCGCTGGTGATTTTTTTAAATTCACGAATGCTTGAAGTTTTATTTCCAAAGTATTGCCCAGCGTTAGTGAATGCGATACGCACGATACAGAACTCACTTTTGGAACTCATCATGATCAGTTACAAAAACACCTCTATCTCTCCTTAAAATAAACGGTATTTTTTGACATCATCAATAACTCTTATTGTCACAAAAATATTTGAGCTGACGATCGAAGTTGACCATAGAAAGCCGCTTTAATGTTATGTTAGTGTTTGGTTGTAAACGAGTCAAAGCAACAAGTTCTTCGGCGGCCTTTTGGATGCTTAATCAGTGCACAGAGAATTTTCAGACATATGTTCATCACTTATCCCAGCTAAGCCGGTTAGCATTGTTCTCGCCGGTTTAAATCTACGGTTTAACTCGCGTTTTGACACCTTCAATTTCTTATAAATCTTTCCTTATTTAAATCTAACGTTTTAAATCAGCCAGCGTGTAATTATGTGCAAGTTTTTAAAAAGAAGCTCACTGAACACTCCAGATATAAAATTAGTTAAAAATGAAAGTACTGATATTGTGTAAAAGTATTATATTGTGAGGAGAAATTCTGTCTTGGTCACTCATCGGGGTTTAAGGATTAAAATAAAAACTGAAAAAAAATTATATCACCCTTTTTTTATAGGTGCTGAGCTTGAGGTTACAGTAAAACTTCACGATAGGTACTTGCTGGCGTGCAGTGCAGTCAGCGATCCAGAAAATGTTAACATATCGGTTGGTACCGCTGCTCTAGAATTGATTGTGAACAACACTGGGACGAGTTCCTGATAGCGCATGTTCAAAATATGACAGAGACAATTCCCAATAACCCAAATTTTGAGGTTTACACCTACGGCACCTTAGTTATCAAGAAGGTACTACCTGTGGATGATGGAAAAATATTTATCTGCATTGCCAAAGAGAGGCACATAGGGATAAAAAGGTCTACGACGATCCTCCATATAGAGAAAGGTGATGTTTATATAAGTGTTATATAATGATGATAATAGTTACAATAATGATAATAGTATTCTTAAAAATAACAATGGGAATTAAGCAGTGGACAATCCTAGTGGTGACTTTTACTGGTCACGGTTTCCAGTTCTAAATGACATTTGGAATGTTGATGACTAGGGGGTAAGGATAATTGGAGAATCCTGAGAAAAAATACGGAACAAGGACGAGAAACAACAGAAACCCACTCGTGACGTCAGAGGTCCATTTATTGAGGGTCCTGGTAGCTTGAGGTGCCCGTAAAATGTGCTATTTGAAACAGGTTTACAACAAGACTGTCAGCTATAGAAAAAAATTGGACTGGTGAGTGTACTAGAATATGCTTCTCCGTCCTTTAAATTTTGATTTTAAAATATGGCTTTTGGCCATTAAAATTTCCGGGACTTTCGAGAAACGGGCGCCACTTCGCCATCCCCACTCCTCACTTTCGTTTATTTAATCTTATCACTTCGGATGCTGCTTCTTTGCATCTTTGCTTTTCTTTTCTGGCGTTAAAGGAATACGAAATTCCTTATAGTAGTTAGATAATTTTGATATTTTAGAGCCCCCACAATAAATACCAGAGAGTCCTCGGGAGCCCCGTGTGATGAAAGGAATGGATCTTCATTTGGCTACTCGAGTTCAGGGGTATCCTTACCTCTGGTTGGCTTGGAGCCAATATGAGGTTCTCCTTCACAATACGCAGACCATCCTGGGAGATCCAGGGCTGTGACTCGATTTCAAGCCAGGGGCCCTTCCGTCTTGATTTGAAATCGACTCACATCTCCCGGGTCTCTGAGGATGACTGAAAACATACGAGTGATCGAAAAAATTGGACGACCATAAGAAAGATTTAAGACAGAAACTAGCCACCGGTTCTACGTCTTCAATAAAAATAACAGTTAACTCCGAAATGCACGACAACAGCAAATGCACGTGACGCGTTTTGTCCAAAGTCCAGTTCTTAGTACTGCTAAAATCGGGCTGACGAGAAACAGTCGCGTTGGAGAATTTTCTCATAA